TTCGTGTTCGACTCGTTAACTTAGCGAACGAGCCAAGCACGAGCTTTTTAACGAGACGAACATGAGTTGTTTGCGAACAACGAGCCTTTTTGACAGCCCTAACTGTAACGTGGGGTGATTTTATTAGACTACGCGCGTAACTCTACGTGCAGAATCCTGATCTTATCGGTATGGTGGACCCGCTGGTTGACTGGGTAACCGCTAGCCAGCTTCCGATTGCTTGTTGCATAAATATTGGTCTCTTAAAGAATAATTAACCAATCACAACATAAAGAAACTGAAGAACAAAACAAAAAAATTGGAGCACGATAGATGGTGCAGGGCAGGTGATGTGTCGACATCATACCATTCTCGATCAGTTTTCTGGAGTGCACACCTAATTTTTTGTCTTCAGTTTTCTTGCGGAACTAGTTTAATACCAACAAGCCGCCGGAACAAATAAAATAGATTAGAAAGTGTAATTACAAAAACCATGTTTGTAAAACTTCTTCTAATCCGATGATTAATAATAATTCAAGTTGGTTAATATTATCATATTTCAGTTAGTAATCGAGTTTGTATGAGCAGGTTTTACTAAAAAAATAATTTAATAAAGTTTGTGAGCAGGTGAAAATTTTATCACATTTGTAGAGTGATTCCAAATGTAAGATTTAGGATTTTCTTTTTTTTTTTTTTTTGTTGGATGTTTTAGAGGCTTGGTTGATCTCATCGATAGAAATAGGGTAAGTCAAATCAAATTTTTGAGATTGGTTAAGTGATTTTTTTTTTTTTTTTGGCTGATGAATAAAACATGTGTGTTTCGGAGATTTGTTGTGGTGTTGTTGCTTCTATTGAGAAAGATTGTTTTGCTCTCATATGTAATATATTGAAATAAGTACAGTTTTCAGAACTTTCAGAATTAAATAACAGAAAGAGTTCGTAATGCTAAAAAACTGACAGTCTAGTCAAAATACTCTAGTAAATAAAAATGATTAGCTATTTGAATTACTACAATAAAAAGAATAACAACAGTAATCAACAAGACTAGAATGATGCTTGACTTTAAACTATGATGATCAAGTCTTTGGATCCTTGAGGCAACAATTAGAGCTCAGTGAGATATCTTAACTAAAGAAGTCTTCATCCATAATCACCATTTTCCCAAATCCAATAAGCATTCGAACATGTTCTCTGGCGATATGTAGTATTTGTGAGGAAACAACCTGTTTATCATTTTAAAATTGACAAGTGGTGATTGGTTTAGTCATTTGATAGTTATTTTCAATCATCTCTCTAAAAAACATTTGATATCTTTTCTGGCATATATCCTTAATGAATGTATATGCATGAAAGAACACAAAAAAATTATGAAAGAAGCATTTAAACAATATTGAAATGTAATAGATTCCATAGATTCCACTATTAGATCATGCAAACTTCAAATGTACAACAGAGCATATGAAATTCTATTCTTGAAAGTCATAAAATAAGAAAACAGTTAATAAAGAGGAAATAAAGCTCAACCTTCTCCCCGCAAGGTATTACTCCACACTGAGGATGAGACAATAGAAAGCAATTAGACAAACATAATTTGCTAGAAAACTTAAAACCAATGCTTATATCTCTATCCAAACAAAATAAAACAATAAAAAATTTTAAAACAAACTGATGAGCATTGCTCATATATATTTCCTCCCTTTGCTGAATGCTGCTAACTTATTTATCATACAAACTATGCAGCAAAGTATATGCAAATCTATTTATAAAAAATTCAGTAAAAGAAAAAAAAAGGTGCTCAACATTCTCAACCAAAAATATTACTTCACAACGAGGAGGCTAGCATAAAGAAATTTGGTCAGCATAGTTTGTCAGAAAAACTCAAAAATAGTGCTCATATAACTATCTAAATAAAATAAACCAATAAAGAAAGATGAGACAAACACATGAGCATTTCTCATATATAAATCATCCCATTACTTCTGTTGATTCATCAGAATAGATAAGAATATTGTTGACTTATCTATCATGTGTACTTCAAATGTACAACAAAGCATATGAAATTTTATTTTCAAAAGTATTAACTGTAGAAAACTTAAAAAAAAGAATTTGTGCTCAACATTCTGAGCAATTCGACCAACATAATGTCAAAAAATTTATAACAAGTACTCATATAACTATTCAAAAAAATAAACCAAAAAAAATATTTCAAACAAACACATGACCATTGCTCATATATATTTTCACTCTATTGTTTCTGCTGATTAATCAAGACATGTAAGGATGCTGCTAACTTATCAATCATGCAAATTTTCAAATGTGTAACAAATTATTTGCAATTCTATTTATAAAAATCTTAGATAAATTTAAAAAAAGAACTAGTGCTCATATAACTATCTAAATAAGATAAACCAACAAAGTTATCTGAAGTAAGTAGATGAGCATTGCTAATAATGTTTTTAGCTCATTGCTTCTGCTGATTGACTAGGATAGGTAAGGATGTCGCTAACTTATTTATATGTAAACTTTCAAATGTGCAACAAGTCATTTACAATTATATTTATAAAGGTCTCATATAAACTTAAAAAACAAAAAATGCTAAACATTCTGAGGAATTCAAGCAACATAATTTGTCAGAAAAACTGAAAATCAATGCTCATATAATTATTAAAACAAAATAAATCAATAAAAATTTCTGAACAAACAAATGAGCATTGCTCATATATATTTCACCCCATTATTCTTACTGATTGATCGGGACAGGTAAAGATTCTGATAACATATCTATCATTCAAACTTTCAAATGTGCAACAAAACATATGCAATTCTATTTATAAAGGTCTCAGATAAACTTTAAAAAAGAAGCAGTGCTCAATATTCTCCCCCAAGATACTTATCTACATTGGGAAAGAGGTAAGAGCAAGCAATTGGGCACTATAAATTTGTCATAAAAACTTAAAATAAGTGCTCAAATATCC